AGATGAGGAGGACGTGGAATTATCTGAGGTTGAGCTTGGTACATCGACAGACGCAGTTCGGAAGGAAGATATACTCAACTCTCCTGAAGCGGTCGACCGTGAAGACGATTTCACGGAAGCTTCTTTGCAGCTGAACATACTGCGGGATTATCAAGCAGCGCTTCAAGAGCATAATCTTGCGCCTACACCAGTTCAGTCAGAGGTCAACGAGCTTAAGCATAAAGAGACGGACCATGATATGCGACTTGAGGAAGAATCAGCCTCCCTGGAGGCTCTTCAGTCGCCTGTCCAGGACCTTGCCATGGCCGACGCGCCTGCCTCAGCATCCATAGACATCGCCGATGGATTGACATTCTCGTTCACACCTAGCAAACCACAGTCGCCCGCCCCACGCAGACTACACTCGCCTCCGCCTCCACCACGTCCTGAATCCGGACCTGACGATGTCACAATGACGGTCGCTATCGATGATGACACCGCTATTCTGAAGGACTTCCTGACTCGTGCTGCCGCAAGCAAGGCTGAGAAGGCTGCCGTCACTACACACAAGAGGGAATCTCTACAAAACCGACGAGACTCGGATATTATCAAACACGCCCTAGCCTCGCCCCGCAAGGTGCTTGAAGAGAAGGATCCCAACTCACCCACTAAGCAGCACACCGAATTGACGCTGGATCTGTCGCAAACACTCACACTAGCCAAGCCAGATGAAAAGCTTCCATCACCTAACTCCGGCGCGACAGAGACCGAAACCGCGGATGAGAAGAGCGAACAAGGGTCAAGACGTTCCGCACGAGCGAAGAAGACAAGGTTACCTACCCCTGCATCAATCGGCCCAGCACCAGCACCCAAGATCAACATCCGCCGTGCCGACGGAAACGAAGTCGTCGTACTCAAGAAGGACGACGCCAAGGTCCTCGCCGACATGACCCGCAACAACACGCGCAAGAACAAACAGGGTGCCTTCTGCGTCACCGTCCGACTAATGAAGCTTGCCATGGACTACTCCAGCCTCCCTCCCCTCGATGACTCCACCAAAGAACTCGTCGTCGGCAAGAACGTCCGCTGGGACGAGACATTAGCATACTACCAAGAGAACCCCGAGACCCTCGCCAACGCTCTAGCCGACGCAGAGTCCCTAGCCACACCAGACGAACTAGGCATGTCGGACTGCACCCCCGAGCCCAAGAAAAAGAAGGAAAAGACTAGCAAGACGTCCACACCCAAGATACGCAGAGTACGTGGGTTGGGCGCATCGAACGGTACGCCTGGGAAGGGTCTTCTAGCACCTGCTAGTCTCCTCCCGGAAGCTGTTCAAGAAGAGAAGGCCGCGACGCAGGAGAAGCAAGCATCCAAATCGAAGTCGACAAAGGTCAAGAAGATGGCCGTCGCCTCGTCCAGCTCTTCTTCTTCTACTCCCGCGGCTACTCCCACGCCTACGTCAACATCAACATCCCTAAACAGCAGCCTCTCTTCCAGCACAACAGACACCAAACTCCCATCTCTCGACGTAGCACCCGTAGGCGTCCAACGCAAAAGCCGGCTCGCTGCGCCGAAAAAGGTTGTCCTACCACAGACACCTTCGTCTGCCAAGGCAGGTGATAAGGAGAATGTGAGTAGAGTGGGGATGGGTGACGCGACGCCTAAGAAGGGGTTGATGGCGCCCAAGGTGGTTATTCCGCCGAGTGCGACGACGGCGGGTGTGGGCATGGGAGTAGAGTCCGGGTTGCCGAGACGGAGGGGGAGGAAGTACTAGCTACGGTAGTGAGGAGGGTGCGATGTCTTGAGTCTAGTTTTTCCAGGGTGTTCTATACCACTTTGCCATTTCAGGATCGTTCCTGCATATACAGGTGTTTTTAGCGGTGGCGTTTGGTGGGCATGGGCATTTACTCGGAAGCTTTATGGTCATAGAATAGCTCATATCAAGGGCTATACAATACAGGAATGTAACATGACATCGATACACAGTATCCATAAATCGCCATTCCTTCCATTCAAACCACACATCCTCTCCCTCTAACCAGCCTACCACATGAAATCCTCCCCATCAACAACCTCCAACCCACTCATCCCCACCCCATTCCCATTCCCACCCACATCCTCCCCCGCAGGCACCAAACTCCCCACCCTCAAATCCTTCTCACAGTAATGCATCTCCCTCTTAAACCGACACTTCTTAACGCCCCACCCCTCCCCCTCACTACACCCCTCCCTCTGACAATGATGTCCATAAAAGCAATCCGCTCTCCTACACGCCCCTTTCCTCGGACACGGATTACACTTCACCACATACTCAAGCACTTGTCTTGCTTCAGGCTCCAGCTCGCTGTGGTCGAAAGGACAGTTTGGGGCGGTGCAGCGCTGTTGCAGGTGGAATGTGTTGCAGGGCTTTGCTTTGGCGAAGCGCGCGTTGTAGGTTTTCCAGGCGGAGGGAGCGGGCATGGGGAGGTTGGGGTCGAGGCGTTGGTGCGAGGTGTTTAGGGGGATGAAGCCCGGGATTGGGGCGGTGGGGAGGAGGGCGGAGAGGGGGGTTTGGGGGGAGGGGTGTTGTTGGGTGGATTGTGAGGATGAGGGTAGAGAGGGATACGGAGCTCCTGAGGGCCCTCTTGGTGGTTGGGAAGAGCCGGAGCCGTTTGTATCGGAGAGGTTCTTGGGGATGTGGAGGAAGTTGCATTTGGTGCCGAAGCGGCAATTTCCTTTTTGGAAGTACTTGCATAGCTGCGAGTTGTTTTCTGGCTTCGAAGAACCGTTTTTGGCTGTCTGGGTATATGCTGAGCGGTCTTCCCAGCCTACTCGTTCTTGGTCGAAGAAACTGTTGGATTCTACTGGAGAGAGGTCGCCGAATGCGGAGTCGCTCATGCTGAATGAGTCATCCCGTCTCCATGATTCTTTGCGTGGAGTTGGTGTTCCGGAAGTGAGTATCGGTTTCTGTGCTGCGGCTAGTGCCTTTTGTTTGGTTGCTGTTGATGGACCGCCTTTGATTGTAGACACGGTGATGGGAAGTTCCGACCATCTAAAGACAGTCGGAAATTGCGTGATGTTCAAGTCGAACTGGTGGAACTCCGAGTTCCATCCAGCGCCTTGGACAAGCGTAATCTTGTCACGTACACCACTGAAGGGTACGAGTTGAGATAGATAGGCCGGATCGTGGCAAGCGGCGTACAAAACATGGCTGCACGCCGAATCTTCGCAGGCGATCTTAAATTGTTCCCTGATCTTGAATTTGGTGCCTTCTTCATCGAGAGCATCAACGAAGTCAAAGAGGCTGATGGCTCGGGTAAATGCGGCGGAGAAAGGAGACAGTGATCGCTTTTCCAAACCGACGAGTTTGGACCTTGCGAGTTGCTTAGACAGATTCGTCAAATCTGCGTAGATCTTGACATGTATGCGAGCCGTTCGGGCTTGGGGAACGCTTTGTTGCAGGTATTTTTCTATGGCGTCGTTGAGCATACGAGCAGCGCGCATTCCGCCCTCTTCTTTGTCGCGAATAAATTCATCGTTAAACTGGAATCTGTTAGCGCGAAACTTGATTGTTGTGATGATACTGACGATGTAGTTGTTGCCGTCTATTAACACCAAGACGTATGGGTTGCGAGCCGTTGTCGCCGCAGCTATGGTTGGTATAGGTATGCCTGGAGGCGCAGCGATAGTGCTCTTGCCTTTCTGTTCATAGGCTCTTTTTAGGTCTTTGTATTCGTCGAGTAGTTGCCCATACTCTCTAAGGAGGTTCTAAGCGGGGTTAGCGGATCGCGGACTACCTAAATAGTGAGGACATCTCGGTATTGACTTACTGTTAGATCATTTTGCCTGGCCTGATCATTGAGTTTGAACTGTTCCAGGTGCGTATCTAGCGAGTCGATCTTTCCGTCGGCTAGCATCTTGATGGTAGCGCGTCGTCGGTGCTGATGGCGAACGCGTCGGTGCCTTGACGGGGAGGTTCGCCAATTGCTTCGGGCAAGAGATACCAATGGCAAACAACCCACGGCAATTGCGAGTCAAATCTCGAAGGGATTTAGAATATCCCCATATCCGCAAACAATTTGCAAGTTGTTTCCGAGGTAAACGCGTTGACAGCAAGCCATTCCGCGACGTGGGGCGGGGCTCCTGCTCCGCGTGTGCTAGCGCGGGCGCCTTAGCGTCAGGAGTCAGCTCCGCCTCCTTCACTCACCACTGTACTTGCACATTACAACTGCGACGACTTAGTCGTTCGATTTTTACGACCATTACGTTCCTCACGCACCCATATATGGGGGAACCTCGCAGATGTTGAAGCTGGGTATCGCTAAGAGCAGATCACACCCTACCTAGGTATGAATGCTTGTCGGTACCTGAAATTTGCCAGCGGAGACCCGAGAAGTTCACACGACCAGTGGATCAACAACGATGGAGTCGACAGCACAGTTCCAGCAGAGATGGACCTGTGATTGACGCGTTCAGACCGAGTTTATGATATCCAGTACAAGCAGAAAAACTGATCCCTGCCACGTTTGGACAGAAGACTGTGGACGGCCTTCTTATGCTCACATCTTGCGTGCATAAAACACCGTGAAGAGCTTACGCCTTGACAGAAACATGAGCCGACAAAAAAAATCCAGCCGATCGCGAAGCGGCCCATCGCCTTTCGCGTAGCCGGGGGCTATGGAAGATGGAGCACATACTCGAATACATGTGCTCTGTAGGTCTGGATGCGAGGACCCATCCAAAAGACTGCAGCCCTTGCGCTACTGTGCTGTTCACCGGCTGCGCCATGACATGATGTTTGTAGGCTTCTTCTGTCTGCCCTGGTCCTGGCCTGCATCTATTGGTGGTGAGCCAATTGTCATCCCACAGCTTGCATTCTTCCTATAGGCCCGTAGAGTCAAGCCCTCTGGAATAAGGCAGACTCGGCTAATGCCACATTGATAAGAGCCCTGCCGCAGTCGAGAAGGCTACTCTCAATGATCGTTACATTCATCTTCAGCCCAGGCTCAATCATTGGAAACACCCGACTACCATTTGCCATGACTTTCGTTTTCAAGGTCGCCAAATCAACAGATGCATTACTACAATCTGTCCAGGTCGGCCCGGCCGACATGCTCGCGACTGTTTCAGCGGCCCATTCAGCCTGGGGTTTCCTGAAAGGCTTGTCCGGGGTGAAAAGCCTGCTTGAGTTCCGCAAAGAGACGTTGAAAATTGAGAAGATGGAGACTCTCGATGTCAAGTTACAATTATCGCCACTCTCCGGATTAATCTTCACTTGCAATGGCCAGTTTTACGTAGCTAATGAGAACATCGAAGAGTCGTTCGACGGTGACCCAAGAACGCAGCTCATTGGCCTTACGATCTGTGCTTTGGCTCACGAATGCGGAGGATCGACCGCAATAGAGCTGTTCATGAAATGTCTAGGTCCCGCCCTCTTCGAAGAAGGGTTAATGCGGGATCAGATACACGGCCAGCTCGTGGAAAATCTCGACAAGATAATCAACGAAGGTGCAGCCAGAGGCCTGCCGCAACGATTCGTTACCGAGATCGAGTCCCTCGGTGTCCCCACCGGCGATCGAAAAAAACTGCGCCACCTCATACTTGCCGATGACGGATCTGAGATTGGGCTTGTTGGTGGACTCTTGGTGTGGATCGCGTCTCGAGACCGGGAAGCGTATCTGACGCGCAGCAGCCTCGTCACTCGTGTTGCTACACTCTTGAGAGCTGTAGGCTATAATATTGGGGAGGTGATCACATGGGATGGGGAAGGGGAGCAACCAATGGGGGACAAAGAGCTGGTCCTTGTCTTAGGTGGACACATGGAAACTGACAAGTTAAGGCTGAGTGACGATGAGCTGCCAAACGATCAGCAAATCCATCACTATAGATTGAATACCGTGGGAGCGCTGTTCTGTACAACATTGGAAACACAATCGGGTCTTATCCCGGAAGTTCTACAGTCTCGTTTCGAGGAGGTCTATCAATACATCCAGGAGCACTTGAGTTTCGTATGGAAGAGTGGGTATATTAAAGGCAGTCATGCTGCCAACATGGGACAGGTACAAGCTTGCCCGGTCTGGAAGAAATCAAAGATCGCATCCACTCCTTCTGCTCTACGGCTTGCCGCTTTCCATTTCCCGATAGCAGCCGAATGGCTAGCGCCTTGTTATGAGAAGATCGCGGGCTCTAAGGACTGGATCATCATTTTGGATCAGAAGCAGCGCTCAAGTATTGGATGGGAAACAGGCTTTCCACCCGCCTTGATCAATTTTCGCATCATCTCAGCTTCGATTCTCATATCGGTTGCCAGCAGATTAGCCCCAGAAGACTTTGAGAGCCTGCGCCACTCTATCAACATTGCTCTTGATACACCGGATTGGATAGCATCGATGAGCTCAATCATTGATAACGGTGTACATCCGGGTCATGAATCACAACCGAGCAGTCTTGGATTTCCATTGTGGAAAGCCGTACAGATATTGGCTGTGGTCCATGCAGCGTCAAGCCCAGATTGGGTGGACCAAGAAGCCGATGTCGACGTACGACGCATCATAGGCTGGAGGACTGGTGCGTACGCAGTCTTGCCGAGCCTACTCTTTGAGATGGCACCTACCGAAAAGGCAATCGGTATTCGTTGTCTCGACCAGTTTTGGGCAAACGCAGTTGTCCGCTCTCAAGGCGCCATTCACACACAAGACAACACCATAATGTACGGACTGTCTATTGCGGCTGAATCTTCCAATATGAGCGACTCAGATACCGAGGCAAGCCTTCCCCTTGTGAACACTGGTGGCGAATGTCACTTCGGCACCGCAGTCACTCGTCCGGCTGATAGGGCCCTGTATCTCAGTCTAGAAAAGCCGGCGAGGCTACCGCTACATGACATTGCGATGTGCGGGCGCATTAACGGCGATTCTGTTGGGATAGTCTCGGTACTCTCGATCATTCAAACGCTTATCATCAGCTTAGAGGCTGCAAAACAGTGTCCTGGACATGCCACCAATACTGTAACCCAGACGGTGTATAACGTTCACACTTCGAACTGGTGTCAAAATCGAAACCAAAAGCCATGCTGGAAAGGTATGCCGACTGTGATATCAGCGCAGGAGCATCCTCTATGGGCAATCTTTCTTGCTGGTCATTCCGGATGGGGTATGTCTGGACGCATCTCTTTCGGTTGTTTTGATTGTGCTACAGTACAGGGCCAGAACAACTCTTTCATTGTAGGGTATACATAAGACATCACTGAGTTTAGAGTCGATGCATATAGTAAGGGCAGAAATGCAATGGCCTCAACCCAGTCTATCTCGCAACTATGCCCCGAAAGGAGGAATCATTTTGAGATCTGCGAATTCTCCAAGCACCTCCCTGATAGCGTCATTTGAATCCACAAACCCATGCCATCCCATCTTCCGCGCCTTGTTCATCGTGAGATCCAATGAAGATCCCATCAAGCCGCCGTCCGTAAACCCGAAGATGCGGTCGATATCCATATCTTGAAGCTTGTCTACCTTGAGACCATATCTAGAAACGATCTCCTCCCATGCCTTCTGCACCTTCTCTTGCTTTGCCCAATCGGTCAGCGTGAAACGCACGCGCAGCTTTGCTGGTGGCCCAAAACCTCGCGGGGGCGGATCGTGCTTTGTGGTAATGACCGTGTAGGCACTTTCGTCCAGGCTGGGAGTCTCATAGCCGATGCCATACCAACCCGCGTACTTCGGCCAGAAATTGCCCCACGTAAAGGTCGTACCATCCATAGTATTGAACTTTTCGTTCTTCGCCCCATCATTGAGCACAGCCCATTGCTCCATGTACGCATTCATCTTGCTGCTCGACATGCATCTATTCGCCTCCCAAGCTTGCAGATCAGTCGGAAACTCAAGCTTCTCGCCTAGGTGTTTCTGCACACTTGCGTATACTCCGAGCGGAAAAACAAGGTTCATTGCGGCGTCTGGCACGGCGCCGAGGATACCCGCTGGCATGCATACATTCCAGTCGATACCCTGCTTTTTGCAGTAGTCCCAGAGAAAGTCTTCTTGTGGGTAGTAGAAGTTGGGTTCGAGAGTGACGCGTGGTGCTGTTTCTTCCTGGGGAGTAGCTGCAGGGCCGAGATGGATACCGTAGTTCTTTGCGCCGGTCTGGAGCATGATGCGCTTGGGCTTGATGTTGGCTATGGGGAGAGCTTCACAGAAGTTCTTGAGAAGGGCGGCTGCGGTACGTTAGTTTCGTATATTGGAAAGTCATAAATCAGCTAGCACGTACTGTTCACCTTGCACATCTCCTCGGCGTCGCTCCACAAGCCACCACCCTCTTTCGGCTTGACTTGAACGTATGAGTAGAAGAAGACGTAGTCAGCCTTGACGCCCTTCTCCTTCAGCACTTTCGCGATGTCCTCTGAATTCTGCAGGAAGTCAAGAGAGATATGCTCGGCATTCTTCGGTAGTCCATCGGGAATCGCGGGTGGTCGCCTTGACAAACAGTAGATCTTCGTCCATCGCTCGGGATCCTGCGCTAGCACACGCAGCATATAGTTACCAGAGATACCATTTGCCCCGGTTATAATGGCTGTAAGTCCTTTTAATGACGAGAGGTATACAGGTAGACCGTGGAAGATGCCTTTGCTTTCGACCAGCTGCTGATTGGACATTTTGGATGAAGCAGTGTAGAGGAAATGTGATGGAAAATAGAAATAACGGTACTGGGTTGCACAACAGTAAAATAGACGTTATACTCACTGATGCGGCGTGTTCGACAAAATGATGTCCGCCTGTACAACCTCGGACCATGACGTATTGCGGGGAAGTGCAGCAAGATCGATCTCGATAGCAGCAGTGCCGCACAACATACGGGTGGATACATGTGTGACGCATGCGATTCTCCAGTCGAACAGCGCATGCTTCTGTCATAATTTTCGCGTAGTGTATGCACATTCCATTATTATCTGTAGGGTTGTCGAAATTCTGATAGCGCGTCTAGTCGCGTCGAGACAACACTCTGCGTTTGATCGGCGATCTTATAAAAGAAGATGCTGATGTGGTGGCGACATGGAACACCGTGCAATAGATGGTAGACATCGTCTCTCTAGTCGTCGTACCTAGGTAGGTGGCTTGAAGATGAACCGAAGCGCGTACCTATGTACGCGTTTGGGTCGGAGCTTTAGCGCGGCGCTAAGCAGGGCCGATTGCCACAACTGCTACGCGACATTACACCTACACCTCTTGCCACAACGGCGCCCAATATTGACGCGATTGGGATCCATTTCTTGGAAGCATACATCGCAATATATCTATCGGTGCTGTTTGATGCGGCTTGCCTCCTCGGTCCTCAGCCTCCTAACACGCACGATCCAGCCAAACGAACGTTCGCAGCTCATTACATTTCCAAGAGGGTGATCCACGGAGTCTAATGTTTGGGATAACCTGCCAACTTCCATACATCAGTTAATATTCTTCCTCTTCATCTCAGTTGAAAGATCAGGGAATTCCAACACACGAGGCCAGCTCCTGGGTCAACCTACCGCTCGTGATTCCTACATTGCGACGAAGTGCTCGTTCGCAATAGCAGTTACCTTCTCGCATCTCTGGCGGAAATCTTCCATGATACCAAATTTGACCCAGGACACCATTCGATTTTTCAAATACGTACAGTCCGGGGAACGGCTTGGCTCAAAAGGTCTGGCAGGTGCGCCCGGCCGACACTGCCGCTCGCAGTTCATAGAGCATTACGACAGTCACTAGCGCGATGCCCCAAGCAACTACCCGGCCGTACAATACTTCCGATGTGAACAGAGGTCAATATAAGCACGGTAAAACCATGGAAAAGGACATATCAAAACTTGTAGCCGTTCCTAATATCGCTTTCAGGCCAAAAGAGCAGCAAGTCTCACCGACGGACCAAGGTATACCAGAAACTTCCCGGAACAATGATACCTCCGAGAGTGACCCAGCTGACATTGCATGGGATTATGATGTATACGCCGCGCCTTTCGTTCCGCCAGGTCTCCAAGCAATCAACACCGAAGTGGCTACCATCATCAACACAAGACCTAGACATTGGATCGACTTTGAGAATTACGTGCATACATTCACCGGAACAAGCTTTATACCGCCACCATACGCGGAAGCTGAAGATTATACAATCAGATCAGCAGCGGATTTTCCTACGTCGCTCAATGAGTCCACCTATCTGCAACACTTCGACGTATCGGCCGCCATGGAGCGTGTAGCGAAGGAGAAAGAAAACGAATCACACGCGATGTATCAAGTCCCACTCTGGCAATACCAAGACCTGTGGTGCCTGACAGTGCCAGGACTAAGAGAAGATAACCCACACATTGAAATGGGCGACGTGCTTCAGATACGTCAACTGTATGTTAACGAAACAGGAGCCTTGACGTTGATGCCAAACTATGTGGATGATTACCAATTCGGATACATAGGAACTCCTTCAATAGTATTCAGGCCTTGGACAGGCGTACAGCACAATGCCGCAGTCTTCGGTGTCAACCGTGCGCAAGAAACAGTCTATTTCAAAGCAGATGGCCTCTGTCCACCGGTACCGCCCATGCGCATGTTCGCTAACGTCGTCATCCCACTGAAGTTCAACATCCTCCAAAGCCGGCGAAGAGCTTTGGCACACCTCAGCTCCAAGCTGAGACTCGTCGGATTTTCTCCACGAACACATGGCTATCTATCCTCAACCAGCAGCCTGAACCATTTTGGCGAATCGCCCGGTGTCAAATATGCCACACTTAACGCCGACGTCACGAGAGCCGCATCCCACGATTCTCATAACGATTGGAGTCTCCGAATCCTGTTTCCTGATGAATCTCATGGCGAAGTTCAAACTACACTGCGCAAAGTTCCCCATCGCAAGCTTTTCGATCGCGCTGTCAACTACGAACAAGCGCATGCTGTCAACGATATATGTACCAACATATATGGGACTGTGCCTTACTTGATCAGTGGACCGCCAGGTAAGGGAACAACTGTACGAATTGCATCCAGGACATACACTGACTTGTTATCCTAACCTTAACAGGTACAGGAAAGACAAAGACTCTGGTGGAGACGGCAATGCAACTGTTAAACACTACAGATGTCGCACACATGCTAATATGCGCTCCATCGGAGGCTGCGGCGGATACACTCGCCCTCAGGCTGAAGGAATATCTGTCACGAAAAGAGCTATTCCGACTTAACCGACCAGGAAGGGCTGATAACGAGGTACCACGGGAGCTATTGCAGTACTGCCATATCGAGAACGACATGTTCTGTCTACCGCCATTCCAGGAGCTCATGGCTTTCAACATTGTAGTAACCTCTTGTCAAGACGCGGCGATACTGGCAGACGCAAGATTGACCAACAATGATCTCTGGACTATACAAAGGAATATGTCATCAGCTTTCAACCCGGACGACCAAACTCCCATTCCGAAGCTACATTGGAGCGCCCTACTCATAGACGAGGCAGCTCAAGCTACTGAACTAGACGTCTTGCCAGCCATTAGTGTTGTATGCCCACCATTCACGTATCCGGCCTCGCTGCCCCAACCACGCGTAGTGATGGCAGGAGATGAGAAGCAGCTGGGACCACGAACCGCATCCCGCAACCTTTTAGTACGCAGGTCCTTGTTCGCCCGGCTTTTCCAACGACCGCTATACGAGAACCACCCCCTCTCGCGCTCCAAGATCAAACCATCATCCGGCCCACCAGTACTGAAGCAGTCGATGCTACCGATCATATACCCACCATTCACATTACTAGTCCGAAACTACCGTTCCCATCCCGCCATCCTCAGCGTACCAAGCGCTCTCTTCTACAACAACACCTTGATCCCAGAGGCACCACTACAAAACACCCCACTCCAACAGTCCGATCTCT